ATCTGTCATTGGAAGTACTTGACTGTAAAAAAACGTGCGTTAACATAACAAGATGAATTGAACTTAACTGTCACTAAGAGCACTTGAGTATTACTAACCATACAATACAATTACCTGAACTATTTACATGTCACTAAAAGTCCTTCATTGATTAAAAGCTAACTTCACCGTTACAACACGTCTTAAACCGTCACTGGACCTACTGCACCGCCACTAAATACACATTACCGTCATCAGACGAATTTAACTGTCACTGGACGTGTTTCAGCAACACTAAGCGTAGTCTGCCGTCACTGAATAAGTTTCTACGGAATACTTCGATACGCCATTGTTTATTGTGTTGCCCAAAGAAGTTCAACTTTTCTTTTTGGGGCTGAAGATCCTCGGAAAGTTTTTGTTCAAATGAAACTCTGTGTCGACTTCTGTTAAAATTCAGATTTGTCAGTTTTATTTAATTCCTACACTTGTAATTGCTGGTTTTCAAAATTTAACAATGAATACCATAACTTACCAACATAACTAACGGTATGTGCCAGGGGAACTTCTCCACTGGTACTTATGCGGCCACAAGAGGCTAGAAAAATAACCAAGTAATGATTATTAAACGCTAAAATAATAAATACGTTTTTCGGAGTAGCAGATCTACGAGGAGGTTCGCTAACCACACTTCATGACACGTTGCGTCCAGGGTCTTGAGTTTGTGTTGGAGCTAATTAAGGATTGACAAAATTCGTTGACGCAACTTAACATCTTTTGTAACAAAACACTTAGACATTTGTGGGGTACAGTGTAACCAATGGTATGAGAAAGACCAATTATTATACTTTTTTTTTGCTTTTTTTACGTCAAAAAGCGAGAAACAAAGGCAGATGAATGACAAGCAACAAAACATCACATGACTGCAGGAAAGGAGCACTATTAACACCTTATACAAAAGTTTATTTCACTTAAACTTAAGTTCATAAAAAAAATTAAAGAACGAAAACTTTACATCTTGCTACTTGACTGCCAAACATTGATCACCAATTTGGAAACTTTTGCTGAAATTTCAGTCTCATAAATATTTTTTCCACACGCCATATAGCGATCAAATTGATCACAGCTTCGACCGCTGTTTTTATCAGACATATCTACCTAACCTTTTATTCCAACCACTCCACATGCTGCCGCTGGAATACGAATAGAACCTCCACCGTCTGTTCCTAAAGCGATTGGGCACAAGCCTGAATGGATAACAAAGTGCTTATCAAAAATGAATTCCACTGAAAACAACGATAAGCGAGATAAAAAACATTTATAACATAGCGTGCGTGCTTGCCCTATGCAAGCCCTACTGAGCCGCTATGAACAAAATCTTTATTTACGCACGTCCGTGCGTAAATAAGATGACGGGAGCATTTTTGTTCATCGTCACTCTGTTAAAAAAGAATTTGCTCATGCTTTTAGCTGTGCGTATATCGAGTTATGGATGCACTTGGGAAGTTTGGAGAGCACTCCAAAAGCTAGAGTTGCTTTCGGCTGCGCTTCGAGCTACTCTTACGTATTTTGGTGCTCTCCAAACTTCCCGCGTGCATCCATAACTCGATATACGCACGCTAAACATGAACAAATTCTTAATTTCACTCGTTGGTATACCTGCAGCCACTGCCACAGCAGACCCACTTGAACTCCCTCCTGTGTAATGATTCACGTTGTACGGATTTCTTGGAATTCCATGAAGTCTGTTCAAATAGATAAGGACATTGGGATTGGACTCAGAGTCAGTCAGGACAATCTTGATTATCATTAACTAGAAATTCCTCTTTATTAGAATGAAAATAAAGGATACTGCAGCATGACATTTCAATGAAAACATAACACTATTATCAAATACAAATAATAAATGGTTAGTGATAGTATATACAGAAATGAAAGAGTGAAAGTAGATTTTCTGGTACTCATATTTCCATACATTTTTTTTCTTCCCATATAATTTCAAACTTAATTTTCGTCATCCACCATTTATCATTTGTACAAGAAAAAGGTGATATGTTGTCACAAGAACATCATGTTTTAACATCTCATTGTAAGGCCACCCAAAAGAAATATAAAACAGATAGTTTTGAGATTCATTATAATAAATTGTTTGATTACACATACTATGGTATGGAGTCCAAGATTGTCACCTGTTTGGATTGTTTCCTGTAGTCCCAATTCCCAACTCATGCATGTTAGCTATACCAATAATGATTGCTCCTCCATCTCTCAGCTTCTTAATTATGTGAGCATCTTCTGTTGAAGGTGTCTTCCCCATAAATGTGGTGCCACAACGAGTATAGTATGGCGCCTTGAAACATTTAGTGCAAATCACAATCAATATTCTTATCCAAGTAGTAATTATATCATAATGTTCATGCTCCAACCCCCTAAAACAAAGAAATTGCCATGCAGTAGATAAATTTCATTAAGTGAGATATTTTTTAAGGCTTCAGTCATTTTACTGTTGAATTAAATCAGGTGTGGCACTAGGGATCTTATCACCTTATCCCTCTATACACTGTTTGGCTCCAATTTGCTGTTATTTTGCCATAAAATGTAAACATTAAGTAACACCTATTTTTTCTTTTTACATGCACAAATGGTATACCTTTCATTCAAAAATGTACTTTATTTACCCAATTTGTTAAGCAACTAATTATTTTGAAGCAAAAGAACTGCTACAGTAACATCTACAAACACGACTCACTTAAATTGCTGAAGAGTGTACCAGTTTTTGTAGCTTGAAGCAATTAGGAGTATTGATACTCCCTCTTTTCAGGAGACAAGTCTATGGCTGATAGTATTTTGCTAAGTTCCCCAGTAACTTTCTAAAAAAACCTTACTAGAGAGATGCACTGTGAAAATAGACAGTCTTGTGAGAAACTTACCACATGATACTCCCCTTTCACAGCCACAGGAATCCCATCCACAAAAGACAATGGATTACCCTCAGCATATCGTTTGGTAGATGCTGCTGCCATCTGATCAAATTCAAATGAAAAAAGGCTTCTAATACACTGATATGTTCAGAACTGCAAAATAACTTGGTATGAGATACTACCTTCAAAATTTCATCTTTGTCATGCTGGACAATGGCTCTTAATTTGGGGTTCTGTTTTTCTGTGTCACTAATGATCTCCATCACTCTTTCTGCTATCTGCATTGGAGTGACTGTGTGTGACCTGTGGCAAGAAAACAAGTTTAACTGCAAGTGTAAATGGGACTTTGTACCTTATGTAGTCGTTCTAAAATGGTGCTACAAAATTTAAACCAAGCGAATGCAAATTTAAATAATATTCAGTTTACCTGTATTCCTTTATGAGGTTTGGAATGGTTACAAACTTGAAGGAAGATTCTTTTGGTTTTTCAATGCTAATGATTTTAAAGAAACAAAATCAGCCAAAAAAAACTTCATATCTATTCATCAAATATTTGGTGTACTTAAGCCAAATGAATATCCAAAAGACTGTGATTGCTTAGCCTGTCAACTTTAAGACTCGAAAAAGCCCCCCCCCCCTCCCCTTTCCCCTTAAGGCTATCAACAAATTCCAAAGTTTTTGGATGGGAGCTTATTTAGGAGAGGGGGAGGGTGTGCAGGAACTCCCTGAGAGCTTTATACCAAGTCATAATTAAGGAGAGGTAAGAGGAAAGAGGAAGCTGATTATAGTCCTGGGCCCAGTTGTATAAAGGGCAGATAACACTATCCAATGAATATATTGCTATCCAGTAGATAAGTGACAGCAAAACATATAGTGTTATCCACTGGGTAGAGATTTATCCCACCTTCAAACAACTGGGGCCTAGGGTGCATAAAAGGAACTATTGAAGCTCTAGCTGGGCTAAGCTGAACCTTTATATAAATTCATTTTATTCCTTGACATGGAAACATTCTTTCATTGAATCCTTTTATTTTAACCAGAAACATATCTTTCATGCATCTGTCTGGCTGGTACCACCACCCTTACAATGTTCAAGAATTGATAACTTTGAAATATAAGAGATTCAAAATGTACAAACATTGACTTTGATCTGCATGTACTATTACTGGTACTGGTAATTAATAATAGTAAATTATTTATGGTTCGCACCTTTCCTCAATCAATTTGTCAAAGTCAACAGGTTCATAGCTCTTTCTATGTTGATGAGGCTCAGGCAAAGGAAATAATGTTGGAGCATCAGGTATTTTGATTCTTATAAGCAAGTCCAACCCTGCTTTTCTACAAGAGTTAAAAAAAATAGCATTGTCAGTAAAGTCAGTTTAATTTTGTGTTCAGGACTCATCACTAAAAAAGGCCAGTAAGGGTTGTAATGCATACCATCAGTCCTGTTATGGCTGAGCTCACTCAATGTTACAATAAAGGATTTTGATTGCTGTTAGGTTTCACTTAACCGTGTATTACATTGCTATGGGTGATAACTCCAAAGTAATGGCTGCTTCAAAACTTAGGGACAGCCCTGCTGGGCAATCTTCTTTCTAGAGAGTTCATGTGTAGTTAATCTCTTCCTGTCTGTCTGTGTGTCTGCCTGGCTGTCTGTTTGACCTTCTGTCTGATGTTTTGTTTGTCTGTCTATCTCTCTGTCTGTCTAACTCTGTCTGTATCTACCTCAAGCAACGAGCCGTCACAGCACTTATGGTAAGATCTAACAATACAGGACCAACCTATTATCAAGACGTTAAAATCAACACTACACACTTGGTCATTACACACCTAAATGCAATCTTTTTCAAAACATTTCCCAGGCCCTGAAAAATTAATAACATAACTTATCATCACAACTTATTTATAATCATATTAATTTAATGGATAAAATCATTTCTATCAAAATTAGCTTTGTTTACGTACAGTTCTCCCAAGCCATTTACTGAAGAGCAATTGTTTTCCAGCCAACCTAGGAATATTTTTGGCCTGAAAGCAAAACAAGAGAGTTGAAAACTGAATCAAAGTAGTAAGCTGTGTTCAAAAGATGTTTTCATCCAATCACATCTGAGAGGTGTATGGCTCAGTGCTGTTTCCTGGCTTATGCAATTCCATACTACCTAAATGATAAAGTCTTGGATTTGTTAACCCTTCACACTCTAATATTAGAATTCACTTTCTCCACACACTTCTATATACATTCCCTTTGGTACAGACAAGGAGAAATTAGTTTAGCAATCAAAGCTTCTTAAGTTGCTGATCATGTCCTTTATTCTCATGATCTTAATGAATGATTCAGCAGTATAATTGTCAGGAGAAGTTAGATGCTGGTCACTCAGAGGGGCCCACTTAATTATATATGATGTTACTCATAAATGGCAGTTCTTCCCATGACTAGGGTAAGTTGGGGTAGTCTGACTTTGTACCAGTGACTTTATTTATTTCCAGAAAATAAAACAATTCTGCATAATTCATTCTTAATAATAATTAACAACTTACAGTGTGTACCAAATTGTACTCGATTGGCAGATCTGGTTTACCAAGTTGTCTCTCAACAAATACAGGTGGTGGCCATAAAAAGTCATAGAACATCCATAGCAAAAGCAATAATCCTACAACTCCTGATAGTATGGCCAACATAATCCTAACCAGTAAAAATGTGTCAAGACCGCCTTGAAAAAAGAGAAAATTTTAATATATCTAGTTAACCCTTTAACTCCCAGAAACTTCTCCTTACAATATCTGTCATTATTCAGCAATCAGGTAATGAGAATATTAAAACTTATAAGCAGGTAGAAGCTGCTATTTTGATCTAGCACCAAGTTCTCATAGCTAATTTACAAGGAAATGTGTAGCAGCTAGAGGGGAGAATTAACAATCAGATCTTGGAAGTTAAAGGGTTAACAAATAGATTCCATGTTGCTGTGGGTCTGTTCAGACAGTAATAATTAAGGTCACTGATGAGCTCAAACTTTTATAAGAACAATGAAGTGGCACATGAAGTGCAGTCAAGTGTGTCACCAATGTTGTTACCACATTTTGACTTTTTCTGTCATTTATAAAAAAAACATATTTGTGATGATAAAAAAGGGCAAAATGTTGTTAATGATGCTGTCATCTTAATGAGCCTATCTTCCAATAGATTGTAAGTAAAAACTAATCAAAATGCATGGATAATTTGGCTTAGTATATGATTGTTCATGGCCACAATCATCACCCACAGCTTGAAAAATCCATCTTGTCTGAGGTCTGAGGTGAAAAGCACTTTAGTAGAACCTGAGCAGGTACTGATTCCGAGGTTAGGTTGATCCAAAAAAATGACTGTTTTCACACTCCATTTTTCAATTAAAAATAACATTTGCATGTGAAATGCTTGTGAAAAATCAGTAATCCCTTTCACATGGTGGTTTTACACATTTTGTCAAAAAGTTCTTGTGGTAAACATTCCTAGAACTTTCTGAATGCAATCAATTTCTGACACATAATGAGAATCTCTCGACGACAGCCTCTTAGACCAAATATATCCTTTACAGGTATTCTAACAGAGAGGAATAACATATTTGAAACAATATATAATATGAAAAAAAACACTGATACTAAGAAATGCTGACACAGGTCTATGCCTAAGGAAAGGTGAAGAAATTTGGTCAAATTGAATTGATTTCAGGCTTTAATTTTTCATCCCACAGAAGAGAAAACATGGCCAAACTGAAAAGGGAAGAAAATTTTTGTCCCAAATTAGAAAGCAGGACATCCATAAGGCAACAGCATTTAATCTACCATTATCAAACTAAGGATATAGATCTCGAAAACATCTTCATCCCACAGGATGAAATTTTAGTAAACAAAGCTACCATTGCAACAATGTGATTTGTTTCAATCTTGTAACCTTAAGTGTCTGGAGTGATTGTTTATACGCTGTGGACGTGGGGTGAAGTTCCACCCTTATCACCCTATTCCTCCCCAACCCCCCCCTTTTTTTTCTAATTCTCTAGATCCGCCCCTGAATATCCAGCAGTGTTGAAGTTCCAAAGTCGTTATCAAAAGACAGATAGCGATAATGAAGCAATGTCACAACTAAATCAAAAAAAGGAAGGGAAAGAATTGGACTCAAAATCTTATATCAATTGTCTGTTCAATGGCATTGTAGATCTTTAGTGTAATGTGTGATGAAAAAGCCCTAACCTGGAACTAACGTATGGCATCTCTAAAAAAATTCTCAAAAATTTTATTTTCCTTCCCAGCGCCATACAGAACCGGCACATCCTAGTAAAGAACATCAATTCAGAATATGTCCTAATTTTTAAACAAATTCGAACTCAAACTTAGGGAAAACCAGTGCAACAATTTCTGTTTCTCACCCGCCGGTGGCAGAAGGTCACCGACCAAGCCGCTTCCTTCATGTGGTCACATCCAGTTTTGAAAAACGTTATTTCAGAAAACATTGATAATACCTATAAATTCTTTGACAATATAGCTTACCTTGCCTGTCTGATCTTGAGAACTCAAATAGATTTTGTCCCTAATCGCTCTAAACTAGTGATGCTGCGGAAGTTCAAACTCCTGAGGGTTAATCATCAACCATGTCAATCAATCAACCTAGACGAGCATCGACAGAATAAGCAATCAGGTAAATAAGGTTAACAGGAATAAAAATGTTTACGGTGGAATCTCACCTTAATCTTAAACTAACTAATTGCACGAAAAAACTTCTGTCCCGAAACTTATTTTTAAGCACAGTGGCCGCGCGCAAAAATAGTAAACAACAAAGTGTACCGAGAGGAGACTGGTAATTGGAGTGTCACTTTCACCTGAACCTTACTATCTCGCACTGTCAGCCGCTTCGCATTCACTTTCCATGTGATTTGTTGTTAAATTTGCGAAACAAGAGAGTGAAGTGTCAGTTGGTCTGTCTGTTGGTAGCTACTACATGATTGTCTGTTCTTGCTTGCCAAACCTGCCTGAAGAATGCCGCATTCTTGGCATCCATTGCAAGTTTTAACGTGTCCAGATCGATGAATAACTCACGAACTTAACCACTGAATGAAAAACACTTACGCGCCTTTGAACTAATCGTGATTGAAATTTAAACCAAAGTTTTTTTTATTCTAGTGGTTCTTAAAATTCGTGATTTCAAGTCTTCTCTCGAACATGTGTGTTTATGGCAGGATTTTCCTCAAGATATAATTAGTGTCTGTTGTAGAAATAATAGTGTGTGTGTTTGGAATTGGGGCTTGTATCTTAACCCTTTTACCCTTATGAGTGACCAAGACAGAATTTCTCCTTACAGCATCAATATGGTATCAAGAAGACAAGAGTTGGGAATAAAGAAAAATGTTAATTTGGAGATTTTAAGTTGATCTAATTTAAAATTGTCCAAACTTATATCACAAGGATTGTATTACAAAGAGTAAAGAGGATTACTAAAGAGATCTGGGAGTGAAAGAGTTAAGAGAAGGAACCCAAAATAGGCTGATTAATGGAAAATTATTGATTTTTCTTAAACAAGGCAGAGGATCTAGTCTTGAGTAGATTAGCTTTTCAAACTAAGGCTTGAGTTTAGGATTAATTTTATCCCAGTCTTACCAAGAATGCAATTGCATTCTCCTCCCTTCCTTCAGAAAGTTAGTCAAATCTGACTTACTAGTATCACCCACCCACAGCCAATTTTTTTTGTGAGTATTGCATGTGAGGGAAAGGAGCAAGAACCCCTTACCATCACGTTGATTTTTTCTCACCTTCTGCTCTTATTTTGCTCATGCATGGGACAATGATTGAAGAGAAAAATGAAGGTCTGTGAACAGGTGAAATGTGATTCCCTAATTTTTTTAGTGTTGGTACTGTTTGAATAAGAGTTGAACCATGAGCCATGTTGATCAGATTTTGTAAAGTAATAATTTGGGTTTAAGTTTTTTCTTCTTTTCTTGATCATTTTCATGATCTAGAGCTCCAAGCATTACTATGACCATTTGAAACCAGCGACTTGTTTGAAAATATCTCTGTCACCTTGAGCAAGACTACAGTGACATTAGCAAGATAATTTTGTTTTTTACCAACTGAGATAATAATGTAAAATGGCTATTATAGAGATCAGTTTCAAAGTTGATCTTTCAAGAATTAGCCTTTCAACAAAGTTCTGACAAAAAGTCAACTTGAAACTATTTACAATGGTCAATTTACATCATCAACTCAGTCAAAGAAACCAAAATTACCTTGTTATACTCCCCCACTGACACAGAACCACAGTTTCTTTCAAAACTGACCCCCTTTCCTGTGACATTTGGTTGTTTTCTCTGAGTAAAAGTAACAGTCAGTGTGATGAGGAGATATTGACAGGAGCCATCGTAATTGTGATTGTAAGATGTTTTATGTTTCAATGCTAGCTTATAAAATTTCCCTGAAATTATTATTTTGCTAGGCTTCTAAGCTGGTTCAGTGTTTACTATTCTGAATGATTTTTATTGCCTTATTTACTTGGTAACTTTTCCGTTCCTTGTATATTTTTAATGCAGGCAAATAAACGATTGGCTTTTGTAGTTCTGAAGCAAAAAGAATGATTGATCAAGGGTGTAGCTGATGAGGTTTTGGAGAGAAAGTGACCACACCCATAATTAAGGAAGAGAGAATAATTAACAATCATGAAAATTCTTGGCAACTCTCCAAATGCTAGCAACACTTTACTGTAAGACCCCATCTAGAAAATTTTTCATTCACCCTTGCAAATTTAACCTTCAATTCAAATAAACGTTATCTTTTTAAAACCTCTTCCTGGGCAGTTTTTTTTTTAAAGTACATTACCTTTTAGAACAAATCATTTAGGTTTTCTGTAACTAACGTTTTGGTTTTGAGAGTCTGAAGTCTTTGAAGGAAACAGTGTACCACTCTCGTGATTTACCCACCGTCGATCAGAACACGATCGTGTGACTTTTAAAGTGAAATTGAAGAATAAGGATGTTTTAAATATCAATGGTCACGCGAATTTATATACGGGACCTTCGTCAGTATCACTCCATAAGGCTTAGCTGGAGTAAAGTCAAAGTTTATCGCATTTGTATTTATTTTCATTGCAAAACTTTTCTATATGACATTCTTAAACAAAAACACTTCAAAACTTGCGCTGTGCTTTTGATAGGTTTCCAAGCCTTTTTGCTGTTTTTTTCTTTTTTCACTTTATTTTTTTTAGGTTTAATTTCTCCCTAACTTAGCCCAACGAAACAAAATAGAGAATGTGCAATTTCTTTGTTAGCGGCACCTGTTCAGCAAGAGAAAGTTTACTGCGTTACAGTAATTTCGTAAACGTGACTTACAACTCTACTTTTGTTTTCAATTCCACATCTCCGATTACCTCAGTGCCACGGTTTTCTGAATATGACGGCATTTGTGTGCGAAGTTTGAATATTACGTTAACGCAACGCCCTCGAAACCGAAAGCTAGAAAATATCTGTAAAGTCTGTACTCGTCAAATTTTAAGCTTCCCGTAAAAGATAATTTATGCATGTGTTCTTTATGAATGCAGGTCAAAAATAGCCAAAACAAGAGGGATACGAAACAATGATTCACAAAATATTTTGTGCAAATAATCAACATGTCACTTCGATAAACGATTAAATGAATTTTACTTCTCACAAACAAACAAAAAATGGTTTCAGACACTTAATCGACAATGTCATTATATGCACACCGCGCCATCATCAGCATAATTTTAATGATTAAATTTGTTCTGAAATATCATTGTTGTCTGTCTGTGTTTTTCATTTATTAAAACGCTTGATCGTTAGTCTTGTATTTAACAAAGTAAATTCGATATAATACCTAATCTCATAGACTAGCCGTTTGCGTTTTGAGTTACACATATTATGCGCTTATCGAAAAAAAGCAAACAAGATGAAAAATTTGATACAAACCCCTGTTTCGATATACAGGGTCCTTTTAGAGTAGGCCTTTTTTGGGGGGGGCCGTTTACATGCAGTAAGACCGCAATGTAGCTTTTCCTCAAATTTTTAACTTTTTGTCGACTGTTTCGTAAGATAACAAAGGAAATTGATTTATTTTCGAATTTTAAACATGTAAGAGGATTTTTCTGGTATAAATACCACGATAAAGTAAAATCATTGGAAAGCACATTGTGAAATACCACGTCAAAAAGCCTACCATTTATGTGCCGGTATGCTGCGTGCGCATCGTTAGGGGCCCTCATGACGTCACGTCCTCTCTCCTGTCATTCAAACACGTGCTGACTATAGATGGCTGCTAGTGTGTGAAAAGCATTGACCGTCGGCAAGCTGAAAAGGCGGTAATTTTCTACAACGTCAAACTTCGTCAGGCAAGCCCCAGCAACACGTGGAAGTTTACAAACAATCTCAGAGGCTTTAGAATTTTTCTCCAGGGCGGCATGGTATCATAGAAAGTGTTTTGGCGCTGTTGAATGGCGCAAACTGTCCGGGTCCATGCAAGCAACCGTGGAACAAGCGATAGTCGCCTACAACATCCCAATAAGGTGCCTACATCGAACACGGAACACGCTAATCATCATTTTAAATTTCCCTCAACGGGCGGAGATTTCTTCCCCGAAACGAGATACCGCGAGAATGGTTCTGCTAGTGCACTAGTCTCGCAAAATCAAGATATTTTGGAAGAGTTACACGATTATATTCAGGGTACTGAAGATCCGACTGACAACAATAATAAGGCAAATTCCTTGCCCAACAAAATGGCGACGTCGAACTCAAGTGGAACGAACCAACCAACGGCGAACGCTAATGGATTTCAAATGTCCATGAATTCATCTTCGGGACTACCAAACAAGAGCGGACCGCTAGGTTTGGGAATGCCCGCCTCCGTTCATCTAAACAATCAACTTTCGTCAATTCTCGACCCAGGAAGTACCTCGGCAAGCCCGGCCGTGCCGTCTAGAAATCTCAGCGAATCGAACCCTAATCCCGCAAATATGAAACTTCTGGCATCAAATCAACCAAATTTATCACCACAAACCCGGTACAATGAATTCAACTCGAGACAGGAAATGCTATTGCGAGACTATCGCGAAGTTCCCATCGCACCTAGAGCGCCGAACTCAACCGAACAATATGGCTCCCAACAAAGGTTCATGTCTGCGCAGAGTGAAAATCAACATAAAAGAGGGTTAAATTCCCAATCAACAAGCGCTTATCATCCAAATTATTACTCTCAGGAATCGAGCGCGCCTCAAGCTGGGCAAAGAGCGCCCAACTCGCAACCAGATGAGAGAAACATGATCACAAATCAGCATTTTCAGTGGCCGAACAGACTGCAGACGACGAACCATTGTTCGTCAAATTTACCAACAAATACTTCACCCGGCCCGCCGATGAGTCGAGCACAATTGCAGGTAAGAGGGGATTACTACCATACAGAGATTGTTTACATTTTTAGGTATTTTAAGGCGTTCGCCGTTCATTTGTGGGGAGATTGTAGGGGTAACTAGTCGCCCAGTAAAAGCAGACATACGTTTGAAATATTTATCATCAGAATATTCATAATGGCGGACTTGAATTTTGTGCGCGGGCGATCGTATTTCATGAACGGGATAAAAACCGATTCGAAGCGAGC